TTTATTACCTCTGGGGTTTATGGGCTCTGAAGGGTTAATAAAAATATAATGTTTGATATAATTGGACTTTGCAAATTTTTACCAGAAAAACAAAAAGTTAAAAATTTGAATAAATGAGCTGCTTTAATGTTCTGCTGCTGCCACGTCAAAAAAGCAACAGGTGTCAGTGCTGCACCAAAGTTCAGCAGCGATGTGGCCTCAAATCTGTGGAAGACTTTTTCATCGGGTTTTTCTGGTGATTCTTTACAAACAGGCGTTATGTCCTTTATTAAAGGTAACATAGATGATGCCTCAAAATAACTAGGACTTTGGTTTAATGCAGTAATAGTGTAGTAAGAGTGGAGTTATCTAATTTAGGAGCTACACTATCTTTAAAACAGCTCAGCACATAGACAATGTCACCTGTGTCACCCGGACACAACAAGCGGGAAGTACACCTGGTTTGACAGGTGTGAGGTGGAGGAGAAAAGAAAGAGGCTGGACTCAGGTCAGTGACTGTATATCAGCCCGCGGCGTCTCAGACTCAGACCTGTTCTTTGTGTCAGTACTGAGGCTGTCGCCACTCATGTTTGTGATGACCATGTCCTCACCTCCAGGTCTTCAGCTGTGCCGTGAGATGTGATGACAGTTGGGCCACATCATGTGTGAACAAAGCTGGGCTTTGATTTGATTTCTTTGACCTGCTCAATACTACATCTGGCTGACCACATGTGGATGTTCTCACACACACATACGCTGCCGCACTGTGTGTGTGTCTAACAGCCCATAATTGTTTCCTCTGCCATGATCTCAGGTTGCCATAGTAACAGACAAAGAGCAGCTGGATGATAGTGATTAGAGGGAGACGGCTGTCTCGACCCGCTGGTGTGTTTTTGCCAACCATTTTCTTTACAGCTTAACCAATTTAGGGCACGTTTAGCTGTCACAGGAAGAGAGGTGGGGTCACCTCCACAGGTGATCTGAGGGTTAGCACAAAGAGAGGGACAATCATTCACATCTATGGCCAATACAGAAACACAAATGAATCTATCAGGCATGTGTCTGGACTGTGGAGGAAAGCTGAAGAACCAAAGGAGAACATAGGAACTCCTCCACATCTGTGTGGAGGTTCTTATTCATGGTAGTCTAAGGAGCTTGAAAAGAAGATGACTGGACTTCAAGTTTTTGAAACATGACATCCCAGTGCACCTCCAACCCAGCAACACCGTGAAACAAAAACTGGTTCATCCCAAACTCTCAAACAACTCTCTAGCACCCAGCCACTGGTACAGATATGTGGAAGAAACCTGGAACAAAATTAAAACCCAAGAAGTAGACACCTTCATGGTTCACATCAGCCCAGTGGATAGAAACATAAAGTTCACCAGGAAGACACAAAGATAACAGTTTGCTGTTTTTGAACTCTAGTGTGCACACTGGGGAGACTGGAAATGTTAACAGTAAAGTTTAGACTTTATCAAAGTAGATGTCTTTCTGAAAGCGCTGTAACTAAGTTTAAGAATATAATCCAGCCACTGTTATCATCGTCAATGCCCTGTACCAACACAGAGCAGAGCAGCTATCTGAACGCTACCCCAACAGAGGTCGATTATCTTGTTAATAATTTCACCTCCTCACTACGTACGACTCTGGATACTGTAGCTCCAGTGAAAACTAAGGTCTCTAATCAGAAGTACCTGACCCCGTGGTATAATTCTCAAACACGTACCCTAAAGCAGATGACTCGTAATCTGGAGAGGAAATGGCGTGTCACAAATTTAGAGGATCATCATTTAGCCTGGAGAAATAGTTTGTTGCTTTATAAGAAAGCCCTCCGCAAAGCCAGAACAGCTTACTACTCATCACTGATTGAAGAAAATAAGAACAACCCCAGGTTTCTCTTCAGCACTGTAGCCAGGCTGACAAAAAGTCAGAGCTCTTTTGAGCCAACCATCCCTTTAACGTTAACTAGTGATGACTTCATGAACTTCTTCACAAATAAAATTTTTATTAGAGAAAAAATTACCAATAATCATCCCACAGATGTAATATTATCTACAGCTACTCTTAGTTCCATTGATGTTAAGTTAGACTCTTTTTCTCCAATCGATCTTTCTGAGTTAACTTCAATAATTACTTCCTCCAAACCATCAACGTGTCTTTTAGACCCCATTCCTACAAAACTGCTCAAAGAAGTCCTGCCATTGATTAATTCTTCGATCTTATATATGATCAACCTATCTCTAATAATCGGCTATGTACCACAGGCCTTCAAGGTGGCTGCAGTTAAACCTTTACTCAAAAAGCCATCTCTAGACCCAGCAGTCTTAGCTAATTATAGGCCAATCTCCAACCTTCCTTCCTTCCAGGTCTCATCATGGTGCACTTTGCTGGCCTATTGGGGATATGGATATTATGAAGATCATGGACATTTCTTCTCCAATGTGCACATTCAGGCAGGAACACATGCACACACAAAGAAAGAAAAATGTGTTCGTGAAAGCAACTTAAAAATAAAGAAGAATATATATTTCTTTTTATAAAACAATCAAATTTATGTGTTTGTTTCTTACATTTGCTTTGTGCTGGGTTTATGGTTTAAAAAATTCATTGATATACATCATCCAAATAATGTCATGTCAGATTTTGGAGGAAGGAACAGCTGGCATACCCTAGAAACAGGAAGTGAATATTTGTCAAATTTAGCTCATGTTCTCCAACCTTCAGCTCAAGTTAAACTGAAGACTTTAGTGGGGGTCTGGGCCGAGATTTCACCTGAAATAGAAATGCAATACCATCATAAAGAACACAGCAGTTTAGTTTTGACAGTTTAATTTAAAACACGGCAGGACCAACAGCCAATGAAACATTAGAACACACAGATCATTTCAACACAGACATCCAATGAGAAGACAAAAAAACAAAACACCCAATCAGGACATCGTGACACAAAGCCTGCCCAATGACAGCTCACCGTGCCCATTGGTGAGGGCAGCGATTACACCACATGGGATTTGTTTGTTTGTTTGTTGACCACAAACAGTAGCACACGTTATAAATGAAGCTGGGCAGGTGAGTCAGGTGCACACGTGGTGGTTGAGGGACTGTCTCTCTGCTGGCCAAGTCCTCGGGGCCAACAGTGTGAGCAGGTGCTTCCTGTTCCTGTTTCTCTGCTCTCAGATGTTTGTTGAAGTTTGTTGTTGCTAAGACGGTGACATCAGATCACCGTGAGGGATTCACACAGACATTTTTGTAATTCAGCATTTTTACAGACAGAAAATTACACACAGTTTATAGTGCTGTGAAAATAAGTATCAAGTAACGACAAGAACCCTGAAAAAATGTAAAAATGTATACAAAGATTGGTAAGAAAGAACCTAAGAAATAAAGATGTTAGAGGAATGCAGAATTTTTTTTAATCTTACAGCGTAAATTTATTAATAACAATTTTATTAATCATACCGCCTTAAAAAAAAAACATTGATCATAATTGTGTTTCTTCTACTGTGTGAGTAGAGAGTCTGGAAGACTTCAAGTCAGTGGCAAAAAGTCCCAAAACGCAGTTTAACATCATGTGATCAGTAAAGAAGGGTTGTCACTTCCTGTTTATGACACTTTGAGCCCTTGATCATTTCAGTCTCGGTTAGTAATCAGGCGGTAGTTTGAGAAACTGAAGGAGCTACACCAACATCCCTACAACTCCCAGAGTACATCGGATGGCCAATCAAACTGCTCCTAGTTTGCCATTTTCTACAGCAGATGAGAATTTCTGTAAGTAAGTCAGATTTCTTAATGGGGTCTGTAGGTTTGTTTCCAGGAAACACAAACTGAAGTTAAAGGATCACACTGTAAACACACACTGAACGGAAAACACACCATTAAAAACAAGTGCAAAAGCTGAGAGCCACCACGGTCAGACTCCATAAACATTAATTCCATAGACATGGGCTTCGCAGCCCTGGATAAACTGTGGACTCTACAGACCAAGAATCCAAAGACCAGCACTCTGCACAGCAGGACTCCATGGGCCTGGACGTGACAGACCTCTAAGGTTCCTTGTGGTACCTGACACCAAGTCCTCAGGGCTGCTGAGTCTGTTTCCTCCACTTAAGCTGCACTGTGCAATTTTTTAGTCGTGTTATTCAAACTGCACGATTGACTCGCAGGGGTGAGAAGTTCATAGGTCACGATGCCGAGTCTCACACTATACGGCCCGATGCTCTGATGCGACCCGAGTGCTCACACTGTGCGTCCATAACATGAAGGTTCATCCATCCATTCGCTTCCGCTTCTCCTTTTCAGGGTCGCGGGGGCGCTGGAGCCTATCCCAGCTGTCATAGGGCGCACATTCACACCTAGTGACAATTTGGATTATCAATTAACCTATCCCCACAAACTGCATGTCTTTGGACGGTGGGAGGAAGCCGGAGTACCCGGAGGGAACCCACGCAAACACGGAGAGAGCATGCAAACTCCACACAGAAAGACCTGATGGTGGACTTGAACTCAGGACCTTCTTGCTGTGCAGCAACAGTGCTAACCACCGTGCTGCCCAACATGAAGGTTATAACAGAAAATCTGTCTCTCGCTCTCTGTCTTTCACTCACACAGACACACAACCACCACCATCTTTGCTAAATTGCTAATGAAAAACATGATCAGCTGTGATTGAGCAGAAGTGTCCATCCAACTATTTTCACGGTTGTTGTGGTCGTGATGATTTTGTGAGGCCACATCGAAAAGGCTCTGATGAGCCAAAGTTTTACAAGTTGTGCCTCCATCGCTTGTGTCCAGATCACACGCTGCACTGCTGCTGCTTCTTTTCGCTTTCGTTCTGTGTTTGCGCGTGCGCAGCGTGAGAGGCTGCGGCGACGCCCTCTCGACAGCCGACGGGATTTCAAACAGGTTTGATTTTCTTACGACCGAGCGATTGATAATCGGGAGCTGGTCGTGAGGTGTTAATCGCTTCTCGTTACCCCACGTATACTACACGACACACGATGAAGGCGAAACTCGGGCCGATCCCCAAAACGAGCCAAATAAAATCGCACAGAGTCGCCCAGCGTTATCAGGACTCGACTACACTCGCTCATATTTGCAAGCTTGATGTTATCATATCTTTCCCACCTTTTCCCTCTGCATATGAAAGGTCAGAGGATCGTGGCTCACTATTCTCATGGTTTTACATCCATGCTTACCTTTACAGAGGAGGCAGAGCCTCTACAGAGCTCATGTAGTCATTCCTTTTTGGGGGTTTTGTTTCTCAGATTACACAAATGAAGTTTGGCTTTTCTGAGTTTGTCTGTAGATTAGTTCAGTATTTGTCTTCACACAGTTATCTGCCCTTCTGGTTTAAAATGTGTTTATGGTCTTTTATCTACTTGTTATTGTTTTTAATCTGTTATTATGGTCCAGTTTTAAGTCCAGGAAGCTGCAGTGTTGATAAAGTTTGAATGAATCTTTACAGGACAAAGAAACAGACACATGAACATTTGTTTTTGTGCTCTGGTTTTCATTTCTGTCAGGATGAATGAGGCTATGAATCAGATCCAGTCCAGCAGATCCAGATGACGGAGTGCAGTTCAGGAAAATGGTCTAATGTTGGTTCAGGTTCATACTGACCTGACAATTTACAAAGTCTAGAACCACGAGAATCTACTGAGATGGTTCTGGTCCCATTCAGGTTTGTCCAACGAAGCCACAGACAGTTTGATAGTCCCGGTTCACTTTGTTAAACACGAGTCTAATCCAGGAATCAGGAGGCATGAGTGCAGTGAGACAGGAGTTCTGAAGGGTTTCTGAAGACTTGGAAGGACCTAAAAGGTTCTATAAATGTTGTAGATGGTTCTGTAAGGTTCTTTCTCAGACATGTTCTCATCTCATCTTCCTCAGTCTGGTTCTGTTCTCTTTCTCTCGTTTCTTTAAGGCGGTGATGTAATGGCTAAAGAGTACTTCCTGTTCCTTCTTCCTGGTGAGAGTGCTGAATCGCTGCTCATCCCGATAACGAACACAAAACTCCTTAAAAGTTGTTCTGGAGAAGAAAAACAAAGCAGATTCATATTTTGATATGAGAGGTGGAAACAGTCATTCTGACGGCTCATTAAACTACATGAACATTATTTTATTTTAACTGTAAATAAGAGAACCTCAATAAGGAACCAAAAGCATTAAACTGAGCTGAATAAATTGCTTAATCATTTTTAGATGATTTACGTTATGGCGAGAGTAAAACTATGAAACATGAAACTTGAAGGATTCTGGGGGAAAGTGAGTCTTCGTGCTGTATCCGCCCGCTCTATGCTGAATACGTCTCACAGGGTTTATGATCATCATGTCCTTCATGTGCCCAGAGATTATTTATACATTTTTAGCTGTGGTAAGACATTCAACTGATGTGATGTGTGTGGCTTGTAGATAGTTGTGTCAGAACCACAGTCCAGGATGAGACAACAGACATAAACACAAGAAGACTCAAAACGTCAAATGACCCCGAACCATCAAACGTAGGGGGCGTCTCCCATTGTGAACTTGGGGCTTCCAGGCCATTCCAGGCCATTCCAGGCCCAGCTGTCACACCACTCTACAAACTCCTGCAGAGCAGCCCGTGGTGCTGTGAGGGCCTGACAGCAGTGACAGGAGAACTGTGTCGTCAGCATATTTCACCAGGTGACAGTCGGGCTGTGTGGATCTGCAGTCATCAGTGTAGAGGATGAAGAGCAGGGGGGAGAGCTCACAGCCCTGGGGGGAGCCAGTGGAGGTGGAACGGAGAGAAGAAAGAGACTTGTTGCCCCAAACTGTCTGAGTCCTGTTGGTCAAAAAGGCCAATGTCCACAGGATCAGCTGATCATCAGGTGGAAAGTTTAGAGGCCAGGATACGAGGCTGCAGAGTGTTGAGCGCTGATGAGAAACCAGCAAACAGAAGTCTGGGGGAGGAGTCAGGGAGCTCCAGATGTTTGTGGATGGAGTCCAAGATGAAGACGTTTGCGTCATCTACACCTCTGCATGGACGGTAAGCAAACTGGAGAGTCCATCAGGGGGTCAGTTGCTCGTACGATGTGCTGTTTTATGATCTTCTCTGCCGAACGGAAAAGTGGGAGGCTGGGCTGCAGCTGCAGCTGGATGAGGGAGTCCCTGGTGTAGGTGAGCCTTGTCGAAGTGTTGGAAACAAGTCCGAAAAAAATCACAAAAATGAGGAAAAGAATACAAATATACCGAGTAGACGGCGAAAAAAGAGCATTAAAGTTAGAAAAAGAGCAGCGACCCGGAACCGGATCTCGGAGATTTGTCAGTTTAAGTATATCCTTCATGAAATTTATAACAAAAAAGGAGAATATGCCCACTTTCATCTTAAAACTAATTTTTATGAGAATGGTGAGAAGACAGGCAGGCTATTAGCAAGACAACTTAAGCAAATGAACAATCAGAAATTTATTACAGCAATGAAAACGATGCTAAATTAAAGGAAAATAAATAAAAATTTCACAAGAGGGTAGGGACGAATCGGAAACTGTCCTAACTGAGGTAGATGTAAGGAAGGTATCCATCCAATAAAAGCTGGAAAGTCACCGGGAATAGACGGCTTCCCAGCAGGGTTTTATCACAGATTTATAGACTTGCTATGTCCTGACGTATTACATGAAGCTTTTGAATATGGACGGCTCCCTGCAAGTTTTAATCAGGCAGTGATGTCACTAATCCCAAAAGGCGACAAGGATTTAGTAACAAGGCTTGTACTACCACAAATGATCCATAAAGATCAAGTAGGGTTTATCAAGAATAGATCTGCTTCCGATAATATGACATTACTACACCTGCTGTGGCTGAATAGAAATAACAAATCCTGTATTGGCTATATCTTTAGATGCACAGAAGGCTTTTGATAGGGCGGAGTGGAGCTTTTACGGAAAAATTTGGAAAAGGTGACAACTTTTGCAGATAATTTTTATTTTTTGTTGTTTTTGTTTGTTTGTCTGCTTCTTGCTTTTGGTTCTTGTATTTGTTGTTATAAAACCTGATAAATACTTGAACTGTACAAACAAAAACACAGTTCTGTTTCCGGAGCTGAATTAGCCTAGCTCTCTTGGTGCTAATGAATCTCCGATGAATTTTATTCTGGTAGAAATTCCTCGTCTGCATCTCCAGTTTGTCCCAGCGACTGGTCGATAAACAGCTGCCGGTCGAGGTGAGGTCATATCAGGAACACAGCTGAATAATTAAGAGTGCTTCTCTGAATAATGAACGAGGAATACCTGCTGGTGATCTTTGCTTCCTCCAGCAGCTGTTTGAACTCTTCTCTGGCTTTCTGCAATTTACTCCTCTTCTCTTTGTACTCGTCCTTCATCCTGCTCTTCACAAACTGATCGAACACCTGGACGCACACAGGTAACACTGATGTCATCGTGACATCATGACATCACTTTCATTTCTAACATTTTCATGCAATCTTTCATTTGCCAAACCTGTTTCCTCTGATCTGAGGTCAGCAGCAGGTATCGAGGGTCAAAGACCATCTTATGAAGCTCCTTCTCCCAGGTGGAGAACGCAGACACCTGAGGAGAGCCACAGGTCAATGTTTAAATTTAATGGTTCAATCTGTATTTATCCTGACAGGGTGATAAATGTAATTTATATGGAGGTGCATTACACATATTGACTAAGATAAAGCATATAGTTAGGGCTGGACCAGGTGACCCTGAATCCTCCCTTAGTTATGCTGCAATAGATGTAGGCTGCCGGGGATTCCCATGATGCACTGGGTGTTTCTTCTTCACTCACTATGTATTAACAGACCTCTCTGCACTGAATCATATCTGTTATTAATCTCTGTCTCTCTTCCACAGCATGTCTTTATCCTGACTTCCTTCTCTCACCCCAACCAATCACAGCAGATGGCCCCGCCCCTCCCTGAGCCTGGTTCTGCTGGAGGTTTCTTCCTGTTAAAAGGGAGTTTTTCCTTCCCACTGTCACCAAAGTGCTGCTCATAGGGGGTCATATGATTGTTGGGCTTTTCTCTGTATCTATGAAGCGCCTTGAGGCGACTTTTGTTGTGATTTGGCGCTATATAAATAAAATTGAATTGAATTAAGATCAATAATGCTTTCTGTACCAACATGAGGTGAAAAAGAAACAATTTTAAACACAAATACAAAAAAGACACACATACAGACACACGTAAAACATAATTTTAAGTCGGAGAATTGTGGCTGTGATGAAGATCGATCATTGTTCTTCAGATAGTCGGGGTCTGATCCACCAGATCCAGCAGGACAGGAGTAACGATGGATCCAAAAGTGCAGACTCAAAACAAAGATTTATTACCACATGACAAAAACAAAAAACTGGCTGAACTGGGAATACAGGAACTAAACTGGCAGGCAGATGGGACACACAGCATGGGATGATGGTACAAACAGAAAAGTGTATAAACAGAACCTAAGGATTACCTATACTGGGAGAACGAACAAAACAGACCTAAAGCCTGTTGATACGGAGGAGAAACTCAGGGAGACGACTCAGAGCGAGCGATCAGTGAGTGGGAGACAGAAGGGAAACACAGCTCAGGGCAAACGAGACAGGGGAAGCAAAACCTTTGAAGAAGTAATTAATTATAGTTACTAGTTAATTCTTCAAAAAAGTAACTGACTTAGTAACTGAGTTACAAGATCCTAAAAGTAATTAATTACTTCAAAAGCAACTATTTTGTTACTTTAAAAAAAAAAGTTTAACCAGGGTATAAATGTCCATTTTTAACTACTTTAGATTGTCTCTCTACATTTCACCTATAAAAACTCTTTACTTTGTCTTGTTTGGTCTCATCCTTTTCAGCACAGCCTCACGTGTCTGAATTTACAGTCATGTTTTCATTTTGACAAACTGTATTAACACAACTGATCTAAAATCAGACAAAAAACATAAAATCCGAGTAGAAAAAGTTATATTTTTACTGTAACAACCACAAACATGTTTATTGAATCATATTTCATAACTTGAAATGCAAATATAAATTGTCAATTTTAAAATGCACAAGTTTTGCAAACAACAAAGTTATTTGCAGCCATTTACCTTTGACCCTTTTTTAATAACCATTTCATTAGCTGTCAAAAGCTATCAAATACGGCGCATTTCTCGGCTTTTAAAAAAACGCTGTGTCGCCAGGTGTTTCATCAGATT